ATATCCTGATTTTATTTCAACAAATGAGTTGAAAACACATACATGTTCAAAAATAGAATTGACATTATTCGGGGGGGGGGGTTCATTATTCATATAATCTACGTGCAGGTGGTGATTGTGTTTCCCCAAAATTTCTCTCTCGATCCAGAGTTTCCCACAGGGATCGTTAACACTTCATCTGATCTCACCGTCCTGGTGCACAGGTGTTTCAAAACATGGAGTGTGGGGTGTGGAGACGCCCCTGCTCCACTTATGTCACATGTCCCACTTGCGTTGTGGTGGTTGTGGCATGCTGTCTAGAGCTTGAATTATGTCTCAAGTGCCACAAAAGTCTTTCACAACTATCTGTGTGCAGAGGTTGTGGAGAATGTGGCAGGCCTGGGACTTTCTCAGGGTCTGGTTGGCTGGGCCAGATGGTCTGGCTGAAGCTGCCTCCCCTCCCCCTTCAACAGGAGATCAAACACCGTAGCTAATGTGATGTGTAACAAGACACACTTCTATTGTTCCCGTCTTGGGACCAGTGAATAGGCACAGAGTGTGGGAAACGGGAGATACCACACTCACAGAGAGATGGCTGATGGGAAGCCGCTCTGTGCAGCGGCAGTTCTGAGTGATGGTCGAGACTTTATGGCAGGAATTCAGAGCTGCTGGTGGGAGGGAAACTTGTCTTCACACACACTTGTAGACAAAGACCCCCAGCAGCCGTGTGGTGCACACTAACTTTCAGAGGAGGCACAAATTCACACAACATGTCGACAATAGAAAGGACAGATAATGAAGCCAAACATGAACGTGACTTGACAGATTGGCAGTTCATGTGTTTTTCAAATGCTGCAGTGAAACAGAATAGATGTTCACACACATTCCTAAACATGCAAATGTAGAGCAAGAAAAAAAGAGATGCTAAATATAGTATGTGACCTGGTTTGGATGGATATAATGCCTAACAGCCAAAATATCAACAGGTTGCAAACCTGCCCATGTACATTTACTCAAGCGCCTGTGTTGACCTGTGTGATCGTACAGATCTGTCTGTCTTAAATGTTTTCATTTTGCAAGACTTTATACTTTTATTATTTTTTAAATCTATTCGACTTTAGTTTACTTTTATTCACAGTCTGTTGAATCATGTCTTAAATCATCCAGAGCACTTTGAATGAGCTTTATTTATTTATCAGAGGTTTGTAGTTTCAGATTCAGATTTCACATTCAATATTAAATCAGATGATAAAATGTTGTCAGGAAAAACAACTCTCTATAACTCTGCCTTATTTTGATGATAAAATGCATTTTATTTAATGTATTTGAGTGAATTATGTCAACATGTAGAAACATGTCCCTTTAACTACGTATGAAAATAATGAAAAACTGACAAATTGTCATAATTACCATTTCCATTCATTACCTCTGACTTTCACTTGTCATGCATTAACCTGCCAGGTACCAGATTTGTCCATTAATAATTCAACACTTTTATAAGTGTACATTTTTTACTGCCAATACTTGTTCACCTTTACTTTGTCTGGATGGAAATGTTAACAGCGTACGGCTCCTCTGTAGTGGAACAGTATTTTGTTGAGTTCATTAAAACTTTATGAACTTATTTGAACATTGTGGCTGAACCCTTAAATGAAAGAAGTCAGAGCAGACCAGAGGCAGTCAGACAGCTCTGTGCCAAGCAGTGAAGCCACTTGACTTGATTTTTCCCAGATGGTCCAGGACACAGAGTTTCTGTTTGTCCTGCAACAAAAGATCAATTAACATTCCCAGTGGAGCATTGAGCAGCAACGTGGCTTTTGTAGGTCATTTACACTGATGTTGGGGACTGGTGGGAAACTAGGGAGACAGGACTACTCACACTGCGCCTACAAGGCCGACTTCACATCTGGGGCCGGCCAGCAATGGAGGCCCTCAGAGGCACACTGCCAACCCTCTTATAATGCTATTAACTTGACACTAATTTGACACAGTTCACTTACAGCAGGGCCTGTAGACTCTTAGAGGCAGTAAGACAAGAGCGTATAATGAATGCCTGCCTACAATTTCTCAGCAGAACTCAGTTACTGATGTGGGACTAAAAACAACAATAATCCAACAGCAAGAGCCAAAATAACAGTGCTTTTCAAGATCAGAGATAAACTTAAACACTGTATAACAACCGTCAGTGAGCCTGTGGTCAGACAGGGCTTCAATGATTATCATGACTTTCTTTCTTCGTCATTATCAGCTGAATTTCCTTTTAAAACACCAACAGACATATTTGGCAGCATTCTTTCTCTCTGAATGAAAGCAGGTAAAAATGCACCGTCGGTCTTCTTTGATCCCAATGAGCGGGAATAGACTGAATCAAAACTCTGAACTGCACGCGGGCTTTGACTCGCGCCACTGAGAACATGCGCAACTCGGCGGCTTTCACACCTGACATGACGTGAGTGAGCGACAGCCTTTGATCAGCGCCTCTGCTCACTGATTGGTTTGTTCACATGTCACTCCTGTTGGAAACCCTGACATTAAGGAGCCTGAAGTGAACAGGTGTTACATGGACTGGTTCTACCTGCTCTGTCCTTTCTCCCTCTCCCTCATGTGAAAAATCATGGAGTCTCCTGTTCTACTGAGAACAACACTTCCATGAGTTCTGCTCCTGTTTATGCACCAACATGCTGTTACAGGGAGGCTCAGTAGTCTTTGAAAAGAAAATGAAAGCCCTCACTTTATATTGTTTTACTGCAGTGAAGCATTTGGTCCTTAATTGCACGCACCTCCCTTTGAAGATATTCACTTCAATGTGCATCACTTCTCCTTATTCTACAATGTACAATGTAAAAAGTCAAACTCGGATCCTCAGCACATGATTAATTGTTCAATAACTACTTGATAAAGTGTTAATTACCTGTTGCTTATCTTGGGAAACATGCCAGCACAGATACATGCCCTATGAGTTATTGACATGTCTTCTATTGTTGTGCTGGGAGTCCCACTGGTCTGAGTGTGGGAACCCCAGCCCTGCCTGAGCCACATGGCTTTGTTATGCTAATGTCCCTGTATAAAATGAGGAGCAGCTCCTCCAGAGACATCAGAGCTCACACTGCCATCCAGAAGAAGCTGCTTACTTCACCTGCACAGACATGGCTCCCTGCTCCACCAACTACTCCTCTGTTCACCACATCAGGATCTCTGAGAAAGACAGCATCAAAGTGAGTAGTAGAAGGGGTTTGAATGTTGCATCAGCTTTTACAGTACAAATGTCTGACTGTGTCTTACTGTCTTGAATCATGAACTTACCTGGCTGTCTCCTCTTCTCCAGTTGAGAAAACCTATTGTGGAGAAAATGCGCAGAGATCGCATCAACAGCTGCATCGAGCAGCTCAAGATCATCCTGGAGAAGGAGTTCCACAAGCAGGAGCCCAACTCCAAGCTGGAGAAAGCCGACATCCTGGAGATGACCGTGAGCTTCCTGAGGCAGCAGCTACAGCCAGGCCTCGACTACAGCCATGGCTACTCTCACTGCTGGAGAGACTCTGTGCACTTCCTCTCTGCTGGCTCCAGCACAGAAGCCTCTGTCTCTCCTCTGCAAGGCCTCCGGCAGCAGGAGCAGCAGCTCCATCAGGCCCAGAGAGCCAGCAGTTCCTCCCCAGTCTGCTCCACCCTCAGGCCCACCCCGCTGCTGGACAGCAGCAGCAGAGGCCTCGTGTGGAGGCCTTGGTAGAGACTCTGTCACACAGACACTGACACCTGAGGGAATCTACTCTCTCCCTCACTATGTAGGAAATATGTTTCCAGCCTGCTCATTCCTGGTGGGTTTCCTTATTGTCTCATCACATTGATGGACAAGTAGTAAAAGCGAAGGCTCTCACTTATTTGAAGATTGTCCTGCTTTGACTTTGATTCTGATGTTTGCTTTTTCCTTGTGTTTAAAGCTGGAGGTTGATTTCGAGTAATGATGGTTTTGTCAAATCTAGTGAAATGATTATTTACTCCAGTGGAGTTTATCTTTGGACTGCTTGATGTAACAGTATATATGTGTATATGTATATGCCATACTGGGTTTTACTGACAGCTGCTGTTGAGAATATTTCTCTTCTGTTTTGAATTAACTATGCCAAGTTTTATGGATGAGAATGATGATGTATGTTTGTGCAAGTGTGTGCAAGTGGATGTACATGTGAACATCTTGTAATGTTGTATTGGGATGTTGATATGGCTGATGTGCTATTACATTTTGGCTCTTAAAACTTATTTCTAACATTTGTATGACAATTAACAATAAAAAGATACAATCATTAAAAAAAGCAAATTCAAGATTTTAAAAATGTTTTTTTTTATTAATCCAGAGCTTTTAATTAACACACACACACACACACACACACACACGCACACACACACAGACACACACACACACACACACATACACACAGACACACACACACACACACACACACACACACACACACACACACACATAGCATACATCCTGTATTCACAAGTAATAGAATTACAAAAAATATAAAGAAAAGTACAAATATGTTTCACTGAAAGTTATATTACTGTAAATTCTATTTCCAATACAACAGCATTTTCTTACAGTATAACGCATTGCAATAGAATAGAAAGCATATACACAGATGATCAACACTGTTTGGTGTTTTGTCAAATACTTTCTTCATTTATTGAGTGTAAATAAGTCAGGGCAGATATGTTCAGTAAACCTTTTAACTTTTAACTTCACACAGTGAAAATGTTTTCAGTTACATAAAGGAACCAAGCACATAAGCACCTCACAGTAAGGATACTGTGATATCATTGTGTTGTGTGTGGTGAACGATCTCCAGCGTGAACTTGTGATTAAGATGGTAGATACCTATTACATATCTTCTCATCAATATGATGAAGCACTAAAAACACTCAGTATTACTAGGAACGAGCAGGCTGGAAACATATTTCCTACATAGTGAGGGAGAGAGTAGATTCCCTCAGGTGTCAGTGTCTGTGTGACAGAGTCTCTACCAAGGCCTCCACACGAGGCCTCTGCTGCTGCTGTCCAGCAGCGGGGTGGGCCTGAGGGTGGAGCAGACTGGGGAGGAACTGCTGGCTCTCTGGGCCTGATGGAGCTGCTGCTCCTGCTGCCGGAGGCCTTGCAGAGGAGAGACAGAGGCTTCTGTGCTGGAGCCAGCAGAGAGGAAGTGCACAGAGTCTCTCCAGCAGTGAGAGTAGCCATGGCTGTAGTCGAGGCCTGGCTGTAGCTGCTGCCTCAGGAAGCTCACGGTCATCTCCAGGATGTCGGCTTTCTCCAGCTTGGAGTTGGGCTCCTGCTTGTGGAACTCCTTCTCCAGGATGATCTTGAGCTGCTCGATGCAGCTGTTGATGCGATCTCTGCGCATTTTCTCCACAATAGGTTTTTTCAACTGGAGAAGAGGAGACAGCCAGGTAAGTTCATGATTCAAGACAGTAAGACACAGTCAGACATTTGTACTGTACAAGCTGATGCAACATTCAAACCCCTTCTACTACTCACTTTGATGCTGTCTTTCTCAGAGATCCTGATGTGGTGAACAGAGGAGTAGTTGGTGGAGCAGGGAGCCATGTCTGTGCAGGTGAAGTAAGCAGCTTCTTCTGGATGGCAGTGTGAGCTCTGATGTCTCTGGAGGAGCTGCTCCTCATTTTATACAGGGACATTAGCATAACAAAGCCATGTGGCTCAGGCAGGGCTGAGGCTTGTGAACAATAGGACACACATCAATAACTTGACGTGAAGCAATCACAGGCTGACCAGCAGAGATAAAAACCATTCCCAAGATACAGATCAGACTGGGGATGATAGCTGCTTATCTCAGACACCAGTTACACAGGATAACTGATGTCACCCAGGGAACAATTAAAGACAGGATTTAATGCACTAGTGGCGTTCAGGGAAAAGGCATTGAAAGTGTAAATTCATTAAATGCTGCTGTAAAACAATCTACATTTGTGAAACCGAGACTTCCACTTGACTTTCCATTACAATCATTTGGGCCTTTTTGGATTTTTGCAGACTGTGTTCCTTTAATTTCTCTGCCAAAGATCTCCATATATCTTCATACATCCTCTACTAACAGTTACGATGTAAGTTTCATTTACCATTTAGAAACTAATAATGATGTGGGGACTGAAAAAACAACAAACTCCACTCTGCTGAACCTCCAGGTTAAATGGTGATTTGTTGAATCTGTATTAATTGAATGAGACCTTTGGAGATTGTACCCAACAGCAGGTAAAGGACTAAACATGGTTCTGCATTTACTTTAAAGTTCTTGTTTGTGGGACATCTTGATTGTCTCTTTTTGTACACTGTTGGGTTCTCCCATATCTGTCAGATCAACTTTACTCCCAACAGTACAAATCGAGCCAAGTGTGAGAAAGATGGTTCTGGTTTCAGATAAAACACACACCTTTTAAACATCACGTGATGATGAATATTCATTTTCCAAAAGTCACTAGATCAAAAAGCTTGTTAAACACCTTCCCAGCAGCATCTTGTCCCAGTGCTGACAATAAAACTCCTGCTTGTTCACCTATGGCACACTTCGATTGTTGACAGAGTGTATTAAGCTGTGAGTGGACAGAGAGACTGTGGGAAAGCCAAGCTCGGACTCTACTCACACATCTACTGGTCAATAGCGCTGACCTCTCAACCACAAAAGGCCTTTTCATCTCTCATCTCAAACAACGGCCAACAGCAGCACTGTGACTGTGTGTGTGTGTGTATGTGTGTATATGTTTGTGTGTGTGTGTGTGTGTGCGTGTGCGTGTGTGTGTGTTTGTATGTGTGTGTGTGTGTGTGTGTGTGTGTGTGTGTGTGTGTGTGTGTGTGTGTGTGTGTGTGTGTGTGTGTGTGTGTGTGTGTGTATGTGTGTGTATGTGTGTATGTGTGTGTGTGTGTATTTATTTGATATGCAATGAGATCTTACATCATGCTGCTGCTCTGAAACTTTTTTTCTATGACCAGCTGCCACTTGTTGTTGAATCCCTGGAAATATTGCTGAGAGTGATAAACTATAAAACCTCTACAGGTCCCATACACAACATACAGTATGTACTGTTTATTTTTGTATTATATTCCAAAATCTTCTGGAAACAAGTGAAACCTCCCACACGCAAATGTAATATATGTGCATATGTTGAATTTCCAAATATGACATAAATGTACATGCAAAATATAAACATACAGTATATGTAAAAAATAAATATGAAACCTATTCGAAATTGACTGGAAAACAATTTAATATATTAGCATATATGTCTAGCCCATATAAATATATATGTTTATGTATGAACTGTATATATCCATCCCAAAACTTATATATGTTGATACAGTGGGTTCCAAGAGTCTGAGACAACTGTCCCAGAATGAGAAGACAGACATGTTTAAAATGAATGAGAAAAACTAAACTTATACAATTTTTATATGTACGTTGTTTTAATGAACTTACATATGAGTTAAATAAATAGTGTTCACATATGCACTCCCAACATGTTATACCATATACAAATTCATCATATAGATATTTTCAATATATGCACATATACAAATTTTATTATGGGTATTTAATATATGTTATTAATGTATATATTCATATATTCAGAGGGTGTATTCAGTATATGTAATAATAATATAGGTGACAACATCCCTCTTGATATAGGGACATATATGTCATATATTACATTTCTGTATGGGCTCCTCAGAAACAAATCATCAAATATCAGTGTTAGCTCTTAGGTTCCTACTACAACTACCAGGGGGTACATTTGATCTGTTTTAATCCAGAACTCATTGCTCCAAAATGAGTAAAAATGGATTCCACAAAGGAATGCACACGAGTCAAAGACAACATTTATTTATTTATCCGATTTAAGGAGACTTGAAAGGTCTGGATCTTCAGTGATTAAATCTTTCGAACCACAGGTGCTGATCTGTAGCTCCTTTTCATCTACTTGTCATCAGATGAAATCATCACACACTTCACTGTTTGCTCATGGTGTACATTTGAATGCAGTTCTGGAAATGAGCGGTGGTGTTCATTTGTGGCTTCAGGACAATAATATATATTTTGGGCAGGAAGTAGCCCCAGAGGAAGGCCAGGACGCTGAAGAGGATGGCAAACACGTGTGCGGCCATGGTGAACAGGCCTCTGCTGATGAGATATAAGGTGAAGAAGCTCATCCAGGAGATCATGTACACCATGAGGCTGAAGGTGACACACTTGGCTTCATTGTAGTTTGCTGGCAGGTCTTTTCCCATGTAGCTGAAAGCGAAGCAGAGGACACTGAGCAGGGAGACATAAGCTAGCTCCAGCCACGCGCCGGCTGAGAGGGTGTTACTGCACTCCAGGACAATGCTGTCCTTGTAGAAGTCAAGATCCTGGGACGGCTGGGGAGGGTTGAGGACCACACGGAGCCCAGAAACAAACAATATGGTGACAGACACCAGGAGAATGGTAAACTCTGGCCCATGTTTTTTGGCCCATTTGTCATAGACCGGCGGCAGCTTGGATGCAAATTTAAAAATGCAGACAACCTGGAGGGAGCGCACAGTGATGCAGGCCAGACACACAGTGAAGCTGAAGATGAATAGAGGCTGCTTGAGGACACAGGCCAGAGGAGATGGCCGGCCAAAATGGCACAAAGAGCTCATAGCAGCAGCAGTCAGGGCTGCCAGCATCAGGAGGCAGGTGCGGCCTCCAGCAGACTTGGCCACAGGCGTGTTCAAGTTGAGCAGCAGGATTACTGCAGAGCTGCAGGTCATGAGAACACAGGTGGCCAGAAAGAAGAGCAGGGCGATGGAGAGGGGGGCGTCCCAGGCGAGGAGCAGGACAGTCCTATTCAGACACTGATCACTACTTGGAGGAGCCCACTGCTCCGGCACACATGGCTGGCACAGAGTGGGTTCTGAAGAGAAAACATGGACCCTGGATTTAAGGTTTTCTTAAATGTGATAGTTTAAAACACAGCAGCATTAAATGACATGTTGTTAGACACTGTGACAGTGTGTGACAGACATGTTTAACAGGGATCTTGAGTCAGTTTGGCTCCTGCATAAGCATATACAGTAGTATGAGTATTGTGCACCATCTGCTGGTCAATCTCACACACAACAGCTAGAAAATACTGTGCTGATGGAGTGCTGATCTGCCTGGAAGTGTGTTCCAAAGTTTCAAGTAGAATTCAACAGCAAAAAAAGTTACTGAATTGAAAGATCACTAAATGAGCCGACGACTGGGACAGCTGCTCTCTGTCTTTACTACTACTACTACTTTTATTTTCTTTCACACTTAAAACAACCTCCATCACACTGATGACATGTACTTGGTTTATTCAGTGTAATAAATTGTTAATAAATTGCTAAAAATGTTGGCGTATTCAATTTCTCAATCTCTTTGTCATTAGTCAACAGGTGAGTGATGTTTATATTATTCTTTTAATCTGTCCAAATTCATTTTGCACTCTCATTTCATACTAGAGCAAATATCTCATCTACAAAACACCTTTCCGTCTGCCATGTCTTTGATATTCTTTAGTTATTTTTCTGGCCTTTGACTTGTGTATATCTTTATTATACCACTTATATTGAGGAATGTGGCCTCAGGACAAGCCTGGCAGTCAAAGCAGCAGGCGTGTTGCCCCATCAGCAGATTCTTGTGGCCCGCCGGGCAGGGTGGAGAGCAGATGGACAGCGGCACCTTCACACAAGCAACAGAGTTTGACAAAGATTACAAATAACCTTTATTTAATCAGGTAATGTCATTGAGATCAAAATCTCCAGATATAAGAACAGAGATAAGATAAACCACAAAACTCAGCCAATCACACAGAAGAACGAACACACAGCTTCAGAAACAATCAGAGAGAGATTTGCTCATGGCTTTCTGAAATCAGAACAATATGTTTTACATTTCAGAATTGTAGAATTTCATAAACACTTTTGCAGATGTTGCACCAAATCTGAGCCAAACGACATCTTGAAAGGAGAAAAGTGAAAGAGTTTGAAAAGTAAATCGGTTTTACTTGTCTTGACTGTTTTGTGTCGTGCCACTCAATCTGATCATCATGAACTGTGAGGGTAATGGGATCTGGGCTGAAGGAGCCCACCACTCTTAGAGACCAGTCCGTCCCCCTCCAAACCCAGGAGACAATGTCATATCCTGTGGGCGGGTCACCGTGTGCGTCAAAGTACACGGAGGTGTTGCCCAGAGAGAATCGCACCTGCTTAAGCCAGGGGAGAAGCTGAGGCAGAGAGAAGAGAGGAGACACCAGCCCTTTAACAAAATGTGCTTCTGAAAGATTTTCTTCTTTGGCAAAATCACAAGTTTACATTTGCTCACCTCCCATGGATGCACCTTCCTCCTTTGACACTCTCCAGAGTCACAGCCAAGAGCTTGGTGCAGAGCGTGAGCCACAGCGTACACCGCCTTGTACACGTTGAAGGAAGACGTGATGTCGTATTTCTCTAGTGAGAAATTCTTCCTGGTGAGGCTGTACAGGTCTGTGGACTGTAGACAGTCATTGCCTGGGTTTGTGGTGCCATTAGAGACTTTCTGGAGTTTGCTCTGCTGCAGTGAAGCCTGAACTGCATTTCTCTCAAAGTCCTCAAAACCAGATATAGCTGCATATTTAATGGACACACCCAGCACAGTGCCAATGGTGTGGATCCCAGGTATCTCTGATATAAGAGTAGCTACTGACCAGTCCTCCGTCCCAATCCACACCTTGCCTGTCACTTTGCGCTCAACGACAAATGGGAAAAAGCCACTGAGTTTGGACTTGCTGGAGAAGACTACAATGGTGTTGACTTTGGTCTTCAGTAGGCTGTCCACCATGTTCCTCATGGTCTGGACTGTGTCAGGTCTGAGTGATCGAATGACCCCTTGGTAGGCAATACAGATGCCGTGCTGAGGTGCTTGGTGGGAAAGACTCTGCATGCCCTGCAAGCCATAGGAGTTGTCACTACCTAAGAGAGCAATCCATGTCCAGTTAAAGTGAATTAAAAGCCGGATCATAGCTGCAACCTGGTTCTTGTCACTGGGAATTGTGCGGAAAAAGGCTGGATAGAGGAACTTGTTGCTGAGCATTTCATTTGAGGCTTCATAAGAGATCTACAGTGACACAAAGAGGATGTGAGGAATGATTCTGTGCAGACATTTTCAGGTCATATTCAAAAGCAATGATTACAACTCTCCAGTTGATAACTTACCTGTGGCATGAGATAGGCCCCCAGTAATGCAGCGGGGCTGAAGCTTTTGCTGCTGCTGTCCGGCCCAATCACAGCCACCGCTCTTTGGCTGTTGTCATAGTCTGTGTCTGTGTCTCCCTTTGTCCTGGGCGTAAAGGGGCCCTGGTTCTGTTGCTCCAGCAGGTCCAGTGTGGCCAGGACACTAGCCGGCACTGAGCAGATGTCATACATCTGGTAGCCCAGCTTCACTCCTGGTAGAAGAGGATGTGGTCCACTGCTGTTGTTGATTTCTTCCACAGCAAATCTCATGGCTTGCAACAGGTGAAAGCCGTGTTTGTTGGGTCGACCTCTGGAGAAGGCAACACATGAAAAGAAAAATAAATGAACACAGAATACTCTAGATGATTAAAAAACACAAAACAATATTTGGGTTGATGTTAAAGCCACACCACCAACGAGATGCATTTGTAAAACAATAAAACTCACACATTACATGGACCCAGAGCAGGCAAACCAGCACTCGGTCCATCTGTGTAGTGGAGAGGAAAAAGTCCAGCGATGGAGAAGTTTCCCTGCAGTTGCATCCCCTGTCCCTGAGAGATGTAGTCCAGTTCCCCATCAGTTAACTGCACCATCAGCCAACCCAAGGACAGGAACACAGCAGCAAACATATCCAGACTTTAGCTCCACCTCAAACAGAGCTCGCTGTGGTTTGCAAAACGGATCAGAGGCTGTTTTTGAAGGTGTGGACGGACAGAGGGAGGGATGAGGGGATCACTTTTGCATCTTTGTGTTGGTTGACTGAAGCATTTTTGCATGTGTAATTTGTTTGTGTGACTGTAGAGTTTCCCTCCCATTAAAATGAATTGCATAAATGCAATAAGCCATGAAAAGGGAGACTGGTGCTTTTCCATTAATCTTTGACAAGTGACATAAACCGGTAAACCAGAGCAAACAGACAGTTTGTGGTTCAGTTTAGATTTATTAGTCATAAAGCTGTTGTTTATTAAAGATATTTGGAAAAAATCAGTTTTGAGCATAAAATATTTTCTTCTTCAAGAATTCAAATCTTAATGTATGACAATCCCATAATGTTTGTTTTGATGCTCTCTATTTTGCTGTTTTTACTTTTGAGAGGATCACAACAATGTGCAGGTTCACGGTGGTCAAAAACCTCCAGTCTTGGGGATGAAAGGCTCTGCACCTTTAGGTCCAATGCAAGGATTTAATCATAAAAAAAGTCTTTGAGAGACCCTTTTACTTTCTTGAGATGGGACTTTGACCTGGTTAAATACATTTTAAAAAGTGATTTTCATGAAAGCAAACAGGTCCAACTTTTATGGGTTTTATGGACAAATTCCAAAAGGATTTGTTTTTAAGAAAAAGCAGTTAGCTAACTGGTATTTACAATCTATTGTAATCTGGAACTACATGTAAACATTACTTATTAATATCTCATGTTTAGCTTGGGACCTATTTAGAAATTCCTCCAAATTTGATAAACTTGCTGCACTTTATTCCAAGTCAGTTATCTTGTCTCATACCTGCAGTCAATTAATCCACAAGACGTTTAAAATGTTAAATAGAACAAAAGGAAACTATGGTTTTTGTTCTTGCCAGTCATCTTCAAGAGAAATCAAACACTATGATAATTTATCCTCACACACAGAAGTTGAGAGCTTTCTAGGACATTTGATTGCGTTTATGAATCTTTTAATGTGCAGTTTCACACGCTGATGAATCACAAACAGAGGAAGCAGTGGTCAAATCAAATGTGACTCCAGATTTTCCAGCCTATGAGTCACATTTTCCATTGTCATAGCACAGCTGTAATTATTAAGTTGTAATTATTAACAATAATGATGACTACATCTCATAGAAGTGAATTAATTCACTCATTCAAAGTCATTACTTAGTGTTAGTAGTAATATCTGTGTTTTTGTTGCTTTGTTAAAATGTCTGTAATGAAATAGGCCTGTGCAGGTGTCAATTTGCATTTTGGTTGATATTTGAGGCACATTTTGTTAAACACACCTGTTGTACTAACATACAATTTGCCTGACGCTCACCTGTGTCCAGAACCCAAACCCATTGTTTTGACAGGAATATTGAGCATTTTATCAACCACATTATTGTGTAGGCAAATAAACATGTAAATTTCCATGTAAGTACAAAGACTATGATTTGAGTGGAAAATATTTGCATTGTGCAAGCTTTCCCAATTTCAACAGAGGTATTTCAGTAGAAGCTTTAATTGTAATTTTTATTTAAATATATAACAACAATAACATATTGTTTCACAAAGTTTTCACATCAGATGGATTAACTACATTTTTAGTAACAGTTGAAACAGTAACATATAATTGTGGGCAGTTTAACAGTTCATTTCAGGCAGTGTTAGAAAATAATGGGGCACACCATTGAAGTCTATGTACACACTCAACATACTAAAGAATAGACAAAGACCCATTAACACAAAAGCTTCACCAGTGACTGTTATTTAATTGAGTTTTCCATATTTGTAGTGTATTGTGGTTTCATGAGAATCAAAGGAGAATACTTTAGTTACAGTATACTGGGCACTATACTGTGTGTATGTAAAAGCCCAGCTTGGGACAAGAGTTGAAAAGTAGCTATGAACTCTGGCTCACTGTCACTGGGACACTTGAACAGAACAGAGCCATTGTGACGTTATTATGAACACCTGCACTTTTCCTACTATGACAAATTAAACTGTGTGCAGTGAAGCAGGCGTATACCATGGGTTTGGGACATCTCAATGGAATGCAGCCATGACTAATGTTATTATGTTTTTCTAATATATAAATGTCAAAGTGAAAACTGTGAAAATGGTCCATATTGTTGGTCTCTAATGACACTGAATGTCTGAAATACAATGCAATATCTGTCATACATATTATGCTCCTATAGTTTGAATAACTTTTTGCAGTTTCCTTAAGATCCTTTTAAAAACGCTGGTACTACTTCACAATTACCCTTTATAAATCATGTATAAGCTGTCATGTATCATTCTTAATGGTCAAAACGTTCCATTTGGCAGATCAAGTTATAGCAGATCACATTAGTTCCTCTGGGAGTATTGTTGACCTTGACATGCTCTCAGCAGCCATCCTCATTATAATCACAGGTGTTGATCAGATTGTTCTGCACAGTGGAGATTAACATGGAGGTGCTTTTTGCTGATTGGTCTCTTTTTTAGGACTTAAGCATTCCGGGTAGAACACAGGTTTCTTTACTTGGTGAACTGCTCACCCATGCTTTGTCCCACTGTTCACATATCTGTGACTCTCCCTCCATCTATCTTCATGCTTCTTCACCTAAATTGTACAGCCACTTATTTATCAGTTAAAAACATTTATAACTGGTAAAAGTGTAAAACACATCACTATTTATTAATGAGTTACTATACGGCTCCTTTTACCAGTTATAAATGGTAGTAACTCATTAGTGAGATTAATGAGTAGTAAGCATTAACTTGATCTTGCCAAATAGTGAGCCTGCATCGATGTATGAAAACTGTGTTAAGGGTAGTCTAAACTGTGCAAAGTGGTGGTTTGGTATACCAGAAGACCTATAGGTCCTATAGGTTTGCTGCTTTCTTCTTGTTTTGATTGAATTTCTCTGTTCTTCTGCTCTTGTTGTTGATACTTTACAAGCTAAAACTCAAAAAGTACGAACTTAATATTTTGTTGGAACATGATCTGTTTATAATGATGTGATTATTCATTACTAATCATTTACTGTTTTTTTTAAATCAAATTTACTACTTATAAGCTAGTTCATACCAGTGTCAGGATAAATTAACAGTTTTTAAGTGTCTTATTTTTATTATTACTTTTATAATGTTTCTACAATACACTAATGTGGAATATTAATTAATTCTACAAATATAACAATCAGTTATGGTTAAAACTATTATGGACAGTCTCACTGTAGCGCTGACAGTTTTTCTTCAATATAAATCTGGCATGAGCAGCTAAAGAATAAATTAATCGGCTCAGGATCATCTATCAAAAATATTTCATTTTTATCACACTGTCAAATATGATCAAATACTATTATATTATTTAATATTACTAATTAAGAGCAGGAAACCCCTAAATAAAACAAGTGAAGAAAAAGAGCTAAAATAAAAACAAAATTCTAGCATTAATTCTTAAATCCAGCTGATGTATGTCTGGATTATATTTTGCTTTATTTACCAAATGTAGGTTCCATCAGACTTCAGAGTTGTACTGAAAATATTCCTGTATATCTGTTCAAAACTTTAGTTGACTGGGGGTCGGTCATGGAAATAGCTGATTCTGGCTCAGTGTTACAAAAAATAATGTTATAAGTAAGGGTGGGTTTTATATTTTCAACCCCGGCTTTTATTCCCAAAAAGGCTTCATTTCATCACTGTCGAAATATTAAACATTGTAAATGGAAATTACACTCAGGTTTTATGAAAGGAGAAACTAAATAGAGAGGACAAGGACAATGATTCTAATAAAATTAAATACAGTAAATAAATAAATAAGATTTGATAAATGCAAAAGTGTTTTCAAAAATGCAGTTATAATAGTTGATTGTACAAAATACTCTTTGTTTCTATGACATTTTAGAGTATATGAACTATATAATTATGATGGTAAATCTGTGAATAAACATAATTATTAAAAGAAATCATCAGAATTAGATGAGAATAAATCTTTACATTCAAAATATAACATGACATCTTTAACAGAAAATTTACAAAGTCACAACTGAAAAAGAGATGAGTGAGTGTTTTCTACAGTCCAGTTAATATTACCATCAGCAAAGTGTGGAACAAAAACATTTGTAGGGTATATATTAAGTCAGATTATTAATTGCAAGCCTTGTCTGCTGATGTTTGTTTATCCAGAGTAAAAATAAAAACTATGTCTATTATTTACATTTTTCCATCTCTGGATAAAGGGGGTGGTCTCTGGCTTTGTTTGCGTCACTACTGTGCGACGCACATGTCGAGGTGAAAGTGCAAGGCTGCCATTTTTTTTTCGAAGGAATCTTCCTGAGTAGTTAGACGAGCCAGGACAAACTGTGAGTTTCACCTCCACTTTTCAGCAGTTTGGACTCACCTGTCTGCGCGCTGAAGACACACGGGGCAGGGGTATTACACCGGCTCGGGGTGTTTGACCTCAGGTTGAGGGGCAGGCTTTACTCGGGACTGCACTGGGGTGCAGACGGCTGCTTAGCTCAGCGGGCTAACATTAGCTGTGTCTGTAAACAAACACTACAGGCAGTGGAGAAACAGCTGCAGGTAAACCACCGCACCTTCTGCGGGTCTCCTCAGCATATTCGGTCACAGTTTCAGACAGGTGAAGAGCTAACACCGGGGGGGTGGGGTGGGCAGCGGGTAGCAGGGGGCGGGTTGGCGCTGCATGTCTGGAAGTTTTGCGACACAACTTCAGTTTTGATGACACTGCGAGTTACTCTAAACCAACTCGGAGCTCAGTCGCTTTAGAACAGGTCGGGGGGCCTGTCGGGTCATCAGGGAAACACAGACACACACACACACACACACACACACACACACACACACATACACACAGAGACAGACAGACACACAGACACACAGACACACACAAGCATGTCGTCCTTCTCGGAGTCGGCCCTGGAAAAGAAGCTGTCGGAACTGAGCAGCTCGCAGCAGAGCGTCCAGACTCTGTCTCTGTGGATCATCCACCACCGAAAACACTCGGCCCTCATCGTCAAAGTGTGGCACAGAGAGCTGAAGAAAGGTGAGAGCTGCCGCCGCTGACTGCTGATGAAAAGTATATGAATACATGTTGTAGGTTAACAGGATACTGGGAGCGTTGAGTCCACATACCACTGTGACATCATACTGACATCCAATCCGTATGTTGAAATAAATCAATCATTTATACACATATATGAATTACTTATTTATACTTCCAGGCTTCCCATAAGCCACAATTTAACATTCTTTCTCTTTTCTGTGGTGGTTAGTTATGTTTTGATATACAAGGGTAACTTGCGCCACATAGTCTAAAGGAACAACTGCCTGTATTGGCGTGTAACCCCAGCAAGCACAAGTCTGCAACACTGGCTCTAGTCTGATGAGCATGAGTTCCTCCAACCCTATGAAAGAGGTCTTTGTCTTACAATAATGTCTAATTTTGTCTGACCATTAGTCAAAAAAAATGCTCCAAATACTCCATTTTACAAGAATGTGAAATTGAGAAAAGCAATGAAATCCTAACATTTTCTGACATTTTATAAACTAAACAAAAAATTAAGTAAATTGTAGATTCATTGATCATTACAATCAGCAGATTCACTGATCATGACAATATTCGTTTGTTGTTGCCCTAATAGTAATGGTGTTTTTGTGTGATACATTACTAAAAAAAGGAGGATGCAAAACATATTCATTTGGGCCAACTGGTGCGAGGACCCTACTGTAATTGCTTTGTGAAATTCCATTGCCTGTAAATGCCAAAAAGGCACAGTAAATTCAAAAATATGTAATTTCCTGTTGGGTTTAGGGTATGGGTACATCAGTCTATTTTGAAGGCATTGGCATGTTATATGTGTTTACTGAATTTCGTGCATGTAGGTGAAACACAGTGCGAGTAGTGCCTCATTGAAGTTTTCTAGGTGAAGCTATCGAGTCATTTTTCCACACCCATGCGCAAGAGCTATAAAATATGTAAATTTTCACCAGGCCTGACGCATGTGCGAAGTTTCATGCGTTTTGAGCATGTTTAGGCTCAAAAGGGTGATTTTATTTTAGAAGAAGAGAAATCTGGCAAACAAATTTCTATAGGGTACTCACACCCTATGTATAATATACATTGTCCAATCTGCCTCAAACGTCATGTGTTTGATGACAGCCCCACCTGAAGACGTCTGCAAGTTACTATCAAGTCATTGTCATAGCACCACCTACTGAAAACAGGAAGTAACCCTATTGTAACAATCATCATTTGATTTACGTTACGTTTTTATTGTGTGATCTACACATAAAACACAACACACAAAAATTGGAAATGTTGACATGGATTTATCGATGGTGTTATTTCTTAATCTTGCAGAGAATTTACCATATGTAGACACTGTGTGGATGTAATGGCATTTGTCCACACACTACAGTTTAATAAGAGTTGTATAAAGCTTTAGCAGTATTTGCCAGTTTTTTGTTTACATTAGTCCCTTGGAGTCAAAGAACTAGGGCTTATGTTTGGATTCACCATTTAGTTTGGACATTCAGCAGTCACACAGTGAAATCCACTAAAGATGAGGCAGAGAGGCCACACATCAAAAACCAAATCACCCTGATTGGTGACGATTTGAACCTAGCTAGATAAGTTCACACCCAGAAAACCTGACGCATGATTTCCTCACAAAAAAATCAGTCACTCCACACTGTGGCTACAATGATAAACATGCTTGGAAACATGATCAATTATTTCCTGAAGTAGACAGGTATGTTGAAGAAGAATACGCACAATAGCATAGATTGTATTGACCATTGCAGATTGACAATGCAGTGTAAGAATGAATTCTCCTGATTAAATCTTTAAAAAAAATAATGATTTAAAAAAGCTGTTTTTTCATGTGTTGTCCAGCTAAATGCAACAGGAAGCTGACGTTCCTGTATCTGGCCAATGATGTCATCCAGAACAGCAAGAAGAAAGGACCAGAGTTCACCAAAGACTTTGAGTCCGTCCTTGTCGATGCCTGCTCCCATGTTGCCAGGTAGATAGTGATGTGACCACTGTATGCGCTCAGACTGCTACAAATGAACAGTCTCTGTGTTGAGTATATGTAATGAGTGTGTGTGTGCGTGTGTTTGTGTGTGTAGATAGGTGGCATGCTTCCTGCTGCGAAGCTTTTTGAGAAATAGCCAAGTATCTAAATGTAGTCCTTTGTAGAAACCCACTTCTGCAGCTGAAACTTGTTGCTTCCTGTTTTGGACCAAGAAATCTGCTAATGGATGATAATATTTCAAAGGTGGAATTCACTCAGAAGCAAAAGTTTGATCTGTTTATCCCGTCCAAATCGGACCTCATCAATTTGTTAGACCACCAAACGTTGCCTAATCTGTTTCAGGTGTCTCTCAAAACTAAAATGGAGCCATGTTTATCCAGCTCCAATATAGGCTAAAACAACCATAACCTTATAAGAGGAAAAAAAGCAGGAAATGATCAGGGTACATTTTAAACATTTGGTCCCATGTTACTTTTTTTAATGATGCACAAGCTGGTTGGAAGAATTTGCTAAACACTGTTTTCACTGTGTTTTGAGCTATAAAACGATCCCTTGCTTAATCCTCTCTCGTCGTCTCCTGAACTGTGATGGTTTCCTGCCTCCCCGCAGCGAAGCAGATGAGGGCTGTAAAAAGCACATGGAGAGACTCCTAAACATCTGGAAGGAGAGGAACCTCTACAGAAGTGACTTCATTCAGCAGCTTAAACTGGCCATAGAAGACACCAACAGCCCCAGGCCTTCAGGTCAGACCACTGGTACATAATCTCATTGTTGCACCTGTACATGAATGTATATGATATCTGTGATCTACCACAAGATGAGGTTTAAATCCAAACCCAAGTAAAACTGTGTCCAGAATCACTGATATTAAAAGTCTTTGTTAAAAACAGCTATTGTAATATGTAGGGGAGATTTAATAATCACTGCCTCTGAACATGTTTTAATTGCCATCAAATAATTTGCTAAACATGAGCCATTTCTTTTTACTATTTGGTAATTACTTAATTACAATCACATTAAAACACAAGACAGCTTTTAAAAGTAAATAACAAATATGTATTGTGTGAATTCTCTGAAATAATGAGGTGATCACTTCACACATAACAGCAGGAAAAAGAGGTGCATTCATGTACCCAGAACATAATCTAACATGAGGTTGATCAATATCTTTTGTGTTGACCCTATTGATCGGGTGACGATCGATACTCAAAATAAGATGTAGTATCTTTGCTACTTATACTTTAGGTATCAATCTGCCCGCCTTGTGTTTATAACCTTCTCTACAGACCGATCTCACACATTACAGAAATTGTAATTTCAGTGTTAGTTTACATATTGAGGGATACTTATAGTGTCTGTTTTCCGATTTGTCAGAGCTGGAAATGAATGTTGACCTACAGTTGCAATTAGAAATATTCAACCCCCACAGCTCAAAGACGTTACAGTGATGTGAATCCAGGTTAATGGGAATATATGACAAAAAGCCAGCAAGCAATGAAACATATTTATTGATACATATTTGAGTTATTTTTAGAACATAAATTGACTTAACTTTGAGTTCAAATGAAAAATGTAAACTTCTAATAAGCATTTTCAGTAAGTGCTGATGAGCTTCTTAAACTTCTCTACTGGAATCTTTGCCCATTATTCACGTGCTAAAGCCTCTAGCTCATTGATGTTTGATGGTGTCCGTGCTGCAACTGCCTTCTTTAAATCCCACTAAAGATTTTCAATTGGGTTTCAATCTGGGGACTGAGAAGACCACTCCAGGACATTCCAGGATCTATTTCTCAGCCAAACTTCGGTTGACGTGGAGGTGTGCTTGGGATAAATGTCTTGCTGGAGAGAATTGATCACCAAGGTTCAATTTCCCAACAAAAGGCATCACTTTGCTCTTTAAAATGGCCTGGTATATCTGGAAATCGATGATGCCTGGTACATGGTCAATATTGCCAGTTCCTGCAGCAAAAAACATCCCCACATCATCAATGACCCACCTCTATGTTTGACCATGGGGAGGCTATTCTTCTGGTCATAAGCCTGGCCTTTCTCATGCCAGACATACTGCTGGTCCGTGTGTCCAACCAGTTCCAGTTTAGATTCATCAGTCCATAGAGCTGTCTCACAAACTCTTTTATGTGTCACTCAACTGATAAAGAAGTCATCCAAAGCAAAATCTAGCTCTTTGAAAATACTTTCATTTGTAAATCCTTACAATGTTTGGGGGGGTTGAATATTTCAATTGCAACTGTAACTGCCAACTTCCACCTCTGCTTCTGACATAATGGAACATTTTTTTTTCCAAGTAACTTCAAAGTTACTTCAGTGTAATTTCTGTTCAACATTTAAAAAATCATAAAAAAAATATTTTCATACTGCAAAGAATTCAGTTTTATTCTTTTTGAAGTGAGTGGCATTTGACGAGTGTTTTTCCTGCTCTGTGGTCTCTAAACTCGACACTGCAGAGGAGAAGAAGGCGGTGAAACGTAGCTATCAGAAGATCCAGGAAGAGGAAGATGATGAGGACGACGACTACAGGAGCCACAACTCCCCTCACAACACAGATATCTCTGCAACTCAGCTGGTAAGGAGGACAACGTTTTACATGAAAGGCACAAAATGCAAAAAAGGGAAAAAAAAGTCCCTCAGTTGATGTTCAAATGTCTGTTTGTCTTAACTCATTTCTCTTTCTTTCTTCCTTCTCTCACTCCCCACCCTTCTGTCATTTCTGACATGGTCTCTGCTCCCTGATCATTTCTCCCCTGCTCCTCCACTCTTGTTGACTCTCTTCCCCTGTTCCCTTTAAACACACCTGCAGACAGAGGAGCTGGTCAAGGCCCTGCAGGACTTGGAGAACGCTGCATCAGGTGATGCAGCTGTTCGCCAGAAGATTGCCTCGCTGCCGCAGGAAGTTCAGGACGTTTCCCTGCTGGAGAAGATCACTGGTAAGACCTGACAGCACAGCTTGATCACAAATGACTTTTCCTGGGATATTTTATGCCTCCGCCAAGGCGACAGCCAGAGCCGGAGAGATTATGTTTTCGGTTTGTCCGTCAATCTGTCCGTCCCATTCTTTGAGCACGAAAGCTCAGTAATGCCATGAGGGAATTTCTTCAAATACAATCACACACAAAAATAGTGAAAATCAGGTGTTATTAGTTAATTACAGTCAGTAAGTTTGGTCAATTGACAGCAGTATTCTGTACATCATTTCCTCATTATAGGAATTATCATAACTATTTGTGTAGAACTTTTCTAAACACAGGTTATAAAGTAATACATGTTGACCAATGTTGGACAAAATATACAGTACTAAACAAAAGAAAAATAAAGTGTAGAGACAGAAATATTCAATAGTAAAAAGACATTGGGTGATTGAACAGGAAACAGGTTTTTAAAGGAGATTAAATAAATAAATGTCATAATTGTGATTTTAACCACCCACTCCGGTTCAACTCCAGACAAGGAGGCAGCAGACAAGCTGTCAAAGACGGTGGATGAAGCCTGCCTGCTGCTGGCGGAGTACAACGGCCGACTGGCTGCAGAGCTGGAGGACCGGAGGCAGCTGGCCCGCATGCTGACTGAATACATCAGCAGCCAGAAGGAGGCACTCATGGAGAGAGAGAAGAAACTAGAGGCAAGGCACTGCACACACAAACATAATGGCCAACAGCACAGAGAGCTGAGGTGCAGGTCGCTGTCTGTTTGTGTCAAAGGTTCTCCTTCACTAAAGAGTGTTACGTTATTACAAACTCACGCTTTAGGTTTTCCTGGACAGTCACCTGTAAATGGATTGTAACAAAAAGAATTTTATACTAAAGACTGTAACCTTGGAAGATATCCACTTGATTTGTCTCAGTCTGCTGAAACCTCATTAACTAAAAAAACTATGACAACATTTTGCATGGAGGGAGGAATTTAGTCCACCATCACTTACATTTAAAGTGCATTAGGAAGGATCTCTTTATCTATAATGATCTTTAATGGCCAGTATGAACAGAAAGCAAAGACTGTTTCAGTGTTTATATGGGCACCTGTCTAATGCTGTCATTAAGACAGACTTAAAAAATGCAACCTATCCTTTAAATTAAGGACTCCCTGATCGTCCACCGATTGCCACCGGACGATTTTCATTAAAATCATGTGATCGGGAGATAGGAATTAATGCTTCAAGTCACCTATCACCTTAAGACTGATCACCTGTGGTCATTACTCTGGTGTCTGCTGTTGAGAGAAGCGTTGTGTGGTGTAGTAACATGTCGGCGTGTGGAACTTACAAACTTACAACGTGTGGGAGACTGATGTAACATACGCCGTCTGCAAGGCATGACAAAAATGATCGGTATTGGCAGTGGATCGGTCGATCTCACTCATGGATGATCGGTAGTGGTATCAGCGGCAAAAAAGGTAATTGCGGCATCCCTACTTTAAATGTTTTAATCAACTGTCCTGGTGAGAATGTAAATACACACTGATGAATCAGGCAGACACTGTGTAATAAAGACATCTAAGATCTGAATCTAGTTAAAGTTTTTCCTTTTTGAAATCTGGATGTGACTTGTATTTGAACACACAGTGCACCTGTCATCACAAACTGTAGATGTGTCGGAAGTCTGGCTCTAGCTGATAACTGCTCTGTGGAGGCAGCATTAGCATGGAGGACAAGGAAACAATGGAAAAAACAATGGCTGTAATTCTTTGTATCGTACAGCTGTAATTCTGTCCTTTTCTGTGATCTGTTTTACACAATATCCCAGTTTAACTTATTTCAAAGAGAAAATTACCTATAATATATCAACCAAAAACTGTCCATACGACTTCCTGGTTCAGCTTTGTCGCAATGTATTTGTGAACAGTTTTCCTCTGAAAACAGGGATTATTTTGTTGTAGCTACAAAACATTTTGGAAGAATTCTGTTGTGTGTTGTAGTTCAGTACTAATATGTACCTGTGCTGTATCTTCTTGATTTTTCCTCTGCAGGAATATAAGCAGAAACTGGCAAGGGTGACCCAGGTGAGGAAAGAGCTCAAGTCCCACATCCAGAGTCTCCCTGACCTCTCCCTCCTGCCCAATGTGACCGGAGGTCTGGCTCCGCTCCCTTCAGCCGGAGACCTCTTCTCCACCGACTGAGAGGTCTTGCCCAGATGAACTGGCCCGGTGCTCCTCCCCACCCAAACCAAGCCCCATGTTTGATTCACAAAAGTATTTCCAGCTGTGTCTCTAGCCAGAGGACACATGTGGTCAAACCTCTGTCAGCAGAGTAGCCAGCCCACCTGCTAACTCCAAACCTGCAGGACAAGAGGGAGGAAGGGACATAAGAGGGACGGTTTGGTGAAATTGAAACACTCTGCAGAGGAGAACAGAGACTCTGTAAGCCTGGAATTTTTTCCGTTCTCACTCAGTCAACAAGGATTCCACTCCACCAGCTTGGAACAAGTTTGTTCCCTATTTGTTTTTATTTTTTTTAAATGCTGGAAATGTCACTGATTTAGGAGGAGAGGAGGGGTGAATAAGCAAAGCTTGGACAGACATAAATGTTTGTTGTCAGGGCGTGTCAAAGTGTCTTTTTGTGTGCTATATTTTGAATTCAGTGAGAAAAGGTGGGCCGTATGCTCTCACAGTTCTCAGAGGTTGTGACTACACTGTGAAGAGGATGTACCATTCATTAGTTTTATTTCTTGGCTTTCATTTGGTGGCTTTTTATTGACACATAGTCCAATAGATGGTTTTGATGAGCGTATACAATTAGAGAAGATATCAGATCTGGTTCAGTGCATTTTGGTTGCTTCATGAATGCCGTTACAGAGCAGGCTCATTTCAGTAACACTTCAAAGAGTCTGACTGAATAGGATTTGTGGGACAGTATCATCCTGACAGTTGAAAGTCAATAGACAAGCTTTGATTTTCATCTCCCCATTCGCACACTTTTGTTTTCATTTACAGACTAAAACTGTGCAGATTCAAAGTACTCGTTTGTTTTCATACTTTAATTTGGACAGATGCTTGAAATGTGACGAGGCTAATTATGTTCTTAAGTGTGTTGTAGGCAAGGTTTGAGTTTTACAAACAAGTCCTGGAGGTTTGAAGAAACAATTCAAGGTTTGCTTTCTATGAAACTGACTGGTCTTTATTTGTATGAAAACATTTATGAAATGCTAAAATTAAAAAAAAAAAAAAAAAAAACTCCAAAATACAGCGTCACTGAATAGTGAAAAAAACTCAAGAAAAGTGTTTAGTGTGTAGGGTTGGGAAATATGGAAAGAAAAGATAACTAGGTCAGAACAGGACCTGTATATCACAGGATCAGAACAGGTTGTCATTACATTATAAATAAACTTGAACTGTCTTCTTCAGCTTCATTTGCAAATATTTAAGACAATTCATTATGATTCACAATATCAAATTTCCACACTATGATTAAAATAATGAATGATAATTGGTACAAATTGCTTGGCCCTACCTGTGTGTAGATGAAATATTTTACAAAAAAAAGCAGCATTGTATTCCCCTCATTTGTAATTCACATTACAAATCCATTAATTTAGACATTAAGGCCAGGGAGGATGACTCAGGCCCAATGTAATATCTGGTACAGCAGTTTGTGAGGATTTTCTAAACCATTCTCTGTCAAGGCCAGGACTTCTGGTATCATTTTTTTTTACCTCTTTTGATTTTCAGTCAGTTATGAAGAGGTTTTAAGATAAAATGTGAGAGATGTTTACCAAGTGTACTCATTTTGTTAAAGCTTTCAGAAGCTTTAACAAAATGCTTCTGCTGCTGATGAGGTAAGTGTTTTCTAAAGTTAAAGAAGATTAGAGTAGATGTAACCTACCGGCTGATGCAACAAGCCTGGGTGAGAAATGCTGCTCCAAATCCTTGCAGTAAACTCTCTGATTGACTGGTGTGTCCTGGCAATCTGGAACCAAAAAATAACTCAAAGGTCAGCAGGTAAAAATGTGACTCACAGCAGCTTCAAAGTGAAACCAGATGTGTGGATGTCATCATTAGAGTCAGTTGTGGGGGCCCAAAACACAAATTTAGGCTTTAAAATAACCCTAATGTTAGATAAACTTTGGATGTTAAATGTTAAATTCACTGGTTAATTAAAGATTATTACAGAACTGTATGCCAGGAAGGACATTTTGACCCAGGTGTGCTTGACTGTCGATATTAGTCCTTCACCTGTTTGCTGTGTGGTATGAATCATACTGTACGACCAGGACTGCACCAGGAAGGATAGTGTTTTCTGTAATGAAAGTGATTCTGTGGATGCCAATAAACCGGAGCCATTTGAACAATTGTTACATGTGTATTTTACATGAAGTCAACATAAGGTAAATATGCTTTGTTCAGAAACAAATAGCCACACTGTCAGATGTGTTGCTCGTAGCCTTTCATCTTCTCAGTGTGGGGCTGCCTGAGCCTCCCTGGGCTCTACAAGTAACTTTTACTCAGTCTGCCCTTCACCTAATCACTTCTCTGTCTGATATCATGAGTAAAACTGAATGTTGCTTTAAAACACAGTCTCTTTTTAGACTCTATTTTACTGAAACTGGGCACAAACACAATGGCAAGTAAAAGCGAATGGCAGCGTGACCAACACATTTTAGTAATTTTGGTGGATATGTGGTGAAAGTATATTACTCATCACGTCAGTTCCTGTCATCCCCTTCAGAAGCAGTGTGGGTGGGAGAAAGACCAGACTGCAGAAAGCTGGAGGGGAGGAGGGACAAAGCACAAGAATACAATGACATTCACAGTATATTCCCAAGGACAGAAAATCTTTTTTCAAATCTAATTTATTTTGAAGACACAGCGAAACAGACACAGCTGTTATATATGTTTAACAACAACCTTAAAGTTATTTTAGACTGCAATAATCATCAGTGTAGTTTGCAGGTACAGTAACATGTAGCCTGGTAATGTGAATTTACAGTGCATGCTTGATAAATTGATGAACAGCGCATTTGTGTATTTGCATGTTTTCTTAAGTTGCACTGTGTTGAGGTCTCACGACCACCGTAGGCAAATGCTACTAGTAGATTCATCAAAAATTTGTGGTACCCACCTGGCCTGGGGGTGAATGCACTGAACAGGCGTCTTTTTCGTCATCCTCCATCTCTGTCTCCTCCTGTTTCCAGTCTTTTTTCTGCTGTCCACGATCTAATTAAGGCACGAAATGCCCAGAAAATGGCTTCAATGCTAAGTCATAATAAAATGAACATTAGAAAGCAGTATGAACCTCATTTAATATATTTGTGAAACTATTCACAATTACATATTCCAAAAATATAAAACTGCTGTACAGTAAATAACTGCTGGAACAACGGTTACACTTGAACCTTACAGCACCCTCACTGACTGAAAGACACCTGATGATGTATTTGCTCAACAACAGAACAATACTGTGGCATCCAAAATGATCATGGAGTTGAATCACCACCTGAAAGACTCAACAAAAACTAAAATGATATATTTGTTTCCATCACTTCATTCCTCCTGTAAGTGAACTGATGGCATGATACTTGAAATGACATTAAATGTGGTACACGCTCCACCAGGTTAGCCACCAAAATCCTTCAGTTTCCTTTCCTTTCCTTTCTATCGTTGTTATTCCACATATGAAATCAAACCAATTTGGTCAACATCAATTAACTGCATTCCAACACTTGATATTCATGACTAGAGACAGATGACTTGAATGGGCTTGACTTTTTTTAATTAAATAATTGCATTTTTCTAGATATTGAGATGTTACATTTTCTTTTTGAAACATGTTGGGTGATTTCTAGTGTGATGCCCACAAATCTGGCAACCTACTTGTACATGGCAGACCAGCAGAGGCCTATGCACACTCATACCTCCCCGGAGGCCAAACAATCCTACAAATTAAAGAAAGTGATTAAAAAAAAGAATGGATCCACCCCTTTAACCACATCTGCACTAAAATCTAATGGGGTCTTCCCTGATCCATGTTTGATCATTTTGGGGCAATCCTGCTGAAAATAAACTGCACAGGTGAAAATATAACCTCCTTGGTGGAGGTAATAATAATAACAATAATAATAATAAAAAAATTAACAATAATAATTAAAATAATTGTTGCAGTGGGCAGCTGCAGTCACATATCCAGACATAACGTCGAATTTCAGTACGAATTATAAGGTGTAAACAACAACAGTTTTCATTCATGTTGAAAATAAAACTAAACTTTTCATGACCACTGTCTTTTAACTTTAATGCGGAAATTGGGGAAGAGCATCGCATTTCATATAACTGGACTTACAGCAGGGACTGCTTGATTCTCGTTTGAGACTTGAAGGTTATGACTTAAGACTTGCACATGAGACTTACTGTCACCTCTGCTGTGCAGTGTTGATGCATAGAAAAGTCATCACAAGGAAATCACACCTGCAACTTCATCACGAAAGTCAATGTCTGAAGTACCTGTATATATAAAGCAACATCTAAATGAGCCAGAGTGGTTTTGAAAACAAGTACTCTGGACATGTGAAATGAAAACTGAGCTCTATGGCCACAATGGCTAAAGGTGTTTTTAGAGAGAAAAAAAGGAGCACCACTGGATGAAAAAAAAATCACCTTGTCCACTGTGAGGCAAGGGGATGTAGGCAGTTTCTCAGCACAAGACTGCTGCACCCACAGTGTAAGAAGAAGCAGCGTCCTAGTCCTGACGGCAGTCTGACTTTTTACAGTAGTGTACTGTAACACTGTTGTTGTCTCTGTCACCACATAAAACAGCTACTTAGCGCAATAAATCCCAGGCAAGTCTTATTTATTCATCATCATATTTATCTTATGTTTCAGCCTTGTGCAATAACACTTCAAACTGTTCTTCTTTTTTTCATTCCCAACCTCCAATGCAACATTTCAGTACATATATGTATATATATGAAGATGCTAGGATTCTTAAATTTTTGAATAGGTGTTAAAAGTCAACATTGTGTATCTGTGGATTAGCAGTTATAAAAAATATAGCCACATCTATAATTCCATCATTGTGAAGTACTATGGTAAAACTAACTACTGTCTCCCCAGACTGCTGTACATTACATGAGTTAAAGCAGGGCAATGAGACACAGATGAAGTTGTTCTGCATCAGAATGCTGCTGTTTGTGACAAGATTCTGTGATGTCATAGTGATCCATTCTAAAATCCCATCATGACCTGTGTGAGTGCACACAGTTCTCTCACACAACACACACAACCTGCATCTAAAGATACAAAGGGTAAAAGGTGTCACATTGAAGAGCAAAGATGAGTGAGAACAGCTCAGTGTATAATGAGCTCCGTCTGGAGCAACAGCTTTGTGACGCCGTGATCAGAGTGGACGATGTTGAATTTCACGTACACAAGCTCCTGCTGTGTAACTGCAGCTCGTACTTCAGGTGAGCTGGTTATTACGTTTTAACAGGGGAAAGCTGCTCTATACTTTTCAAATGAGCAAACAATAGCAGCATGATTCATAGAGTTTGTAAACTAAAAAACAACCCAATATAAATGAATGATTCATGGAGAAACAAGTTGTATCAACCAAGTGAAGATATAAATCCACCAAAAAACACATGAACATATGAAATATTAACACATTACACATTTTGTTTTAAAAAGAAACCAATGTTTTCTTAAAGTTTGTACTAAAGGTGCATGTTCACTGACTTCACACACTGAGCAAGTTTTTCATATACACTGATTTACAAATGGTAATAATATCAGTTTATCATTTCAGTTAAATTTGTGATTGTAAACACTAGTTTTCAAAAATACTTGCCAAAGTAGATCTTAACTCTGTCTCACTGGAAAACACAACATCTGGTAGCCTATAAGAATTTCACACAAAAAAGTCTAACTAGCTAACTAACTTTGAAGGTCCAATTCGTTCATTTCTCAACAAACATCATCTATAAAATAAGTCAGTCTGTGCAGTGACAGGACGGGGCTTGTTTTCTGTTCACCATTTCATTTTAATTTGGCCACAGCAGCTTTGAAAAGGGTAACAGAGGCTTTATATTGTTACTTTTATCTGAACACTTGGAACACTTTATTTTCACTCCCTTGTTTTGTCTCCTTCCTGGCCTACAGAGCTCTCTTTACCCACTGGTCAACCCCAGACAGTCAGGTCTTTGACATTCCCAATGTGTCACCTGACATGATGAGGCTCATCATTGAGTTTGCCTACACCGGCTTTGTTCATGTGACACAAGAGAATATACAAGAGCTTTTTATAGCGGCTGACAGGTTCAATGTAATGGGCATCCTGGAAGCCTGCAGTCACATCCTGGAGGAGCAGCTGGCCCCACAGAACTGCATAGGCATCTGGTGGTTCACAGACCTC